TATAACAGTAGCTTTGATATTTTTTTGAACTGTCCTTCAAATTAAAGGAAAATTCTGTTCTAGTTTGAACAGACACATACCAACCCTGTTCAGAATAAAGAAGAAAATAAATTTCGACTAATTATGCAAAAACACCTGATTTCCCTAGTCCACAAGTTTTGTAAAAACCTAACTTCCATAGGCCAGATCAACAATTTATTTTCAGAGGGAGAATAATTCAGCCGTTCAACAGCTAAAACTAATGCTGTCCAAACAAAGTCACCGTAAAGGAACTAGTTTTGAAATTAGGAAACGTTAAGTGGAAAAAGGAAAGGATAATATTAACAAAGTAATGACACAATTGATAGAGATCACAAAAGATATAGACCAAGTTTGGAATTCTGTTTCAAAACAGCAAATTCGCTAGAAACTGTCTAACTGTCAAGGCAAAGCGAATAGTGAGTCATAAACTATCAATATTTTAAAAAACTTAAAAACCAACAAAATTTCTCTACCTATCATCTCCTTTTATACACAAAATAATTTGACTCGAACATTTTGTACACAGATTACGAAAAGAAAATGGAAAAAAGTAGAATTCCATGACTCGTATTCCAAAATGTTTTCAGGTTTTTAAATTAAATAAAACAGAGGAATAAATAACAGAAATTACCAAATAAAACCTTTCTGCTTTTTATACATTTTTCACTACGATACTCTCAATTCATTCTCTAAACGATAATGAAAATCTATAGGAAGCTTTTAATTAAAAATTCTTCCTCAGCAGTTAATGACCTTTTCTCATTTTTATTTACTTGTTCAGTTCACTTTTACTGTTCCAAAAACTTGAAAGAACAACAATAACCAAAAAGTGCACTAGAAAAAAAGCAATATAATCTCCAGTAAAACAAAACGAAAAAAAAAAAGAAGAAATGTTAACGAATTGATTGTCAAACACGATCAACGACAGTTGGAAAGACACAGTTTACTGAGTATAAATAATGAAAAAATAAAAAGAACTTACAGCTAAATTCATTCGCGACATCATACAGTCAAGCTTAAATGACGAAGAACTAGCTGGAGTACCATCACAAGTCGGATACACAGACACTTGGGTCGGAGCAATGACGAACATCTTTTCAGAATCTTCTTGCAATGGTATCTTGGGATAAGTAGAGCGCCTCGTCTTGAGACGAGCTCCTCGACAAAAAAAAACTGCAAATTATCAAATAATTACTAACTTCTCGAATTATTCAGTACAATAATGATAATAACGACGGTGGCGATGTCAACGTATGAAAATAAATTAAGCATATAAATTGACAGTAAACACTTACGATAAACAAAAAAAACTGAAACGACAAATTAAAATAGAAACAAACATAAATAAAATTCAAATGCGAACGATGCCAATAATAACTTCTTTTTCTTCTTTTTTTGTTTGCTATTTCACAAAAACACTGGATGAACATTAGCAGAAAACAAAAAAACTATATCAAAAAAAAAGAAAACACAAAAAATCAGCAGAAAAGTGACAAAAAAGAAAAAGAAAAATTTATATAAAATCAGGATCAGCCCTTTACTATAGACTAAAGAAATGCCAAAAGTTATAAATGTGAATTGAGCTTCAAAATAGACTGCTACTTGTCCAATCATCCACCGCTACAGTCACCGTCACTGTTGCCCACCGACAGACTATTCCCGTGTTGCCCGTTTAGAAAATTATTGGTAGGCCAGTTTCCACTACTATATTTTTACTAACTCTTACACACAGACATCACTATCCCAGACAACTCCGAAACCAGTAAATCACATCGACTGTCGCTGCTACTCGATTATTTTTGTTCAAAAACCGAGACAAAACTTCAGGTGTGTCAGAAAAAAAGAAGATTCTGCAAAAAAAAAAATCTCTCGAAAAAGCACTACAGACGCCGGACCATACTTTACCAAACAGTGACAATGTGGTGATGACGGTGACAGCGATTAGAACAATGGGACGAACAATCATATGAGCAAAAGGAAAGGAAAAACAGACTACCAAAGATAATAAACAAGATTTATTATAATAGCAGTGACAGCTTCAACCAGATATCGCTGGGGAAAAAAAAACTACAGAAAACATGACAGCAATGTAAGTGTAGCAAAAGTCTAAAGCAAATTTTCTCGTCTCTTAGCTAGTCTATGGTTAAAATTCAAAGTTAAAATATGCCCTCTTTAATCAACCCGCCAAATATAATTACTGATAAGGGAAAAAAGGCAATAATTTCAAAAAAAATTTTTGCACAAATAATTTCTTTGGATAACAAATAAAGTAACAAATGCTATGCAAAAAATGTGAAAAAAAAAAGCAATAGGCAACAATCTTCTGTGCCCCTCTTTCCCCACCCCCCACCCCACCAAAAATGACTCTTTCTCAGTCAATTTTTTCTTCTCTCCATTTTTCGTTCACTACTCAAACATTTACCCCGGACGTCATTAATTGCTGCAGTTAATCAACTTTCACCCTTATTACAGTGCAAAAAATTTGTAAATCACAGTTAGTTTTATTTCGGAATCTGTGAAAATTAAAACAAAAAAAAACAATTTCTATCAATAATTTAACAAAATATAAACCTGTAAATTTTTTTCTTCGTTTTCGTACACTTTTTACTCCTTTCAAAAAAAAGAAAACAGAAAGGCTGAATGAATAACAGTAAAAATCGCCGTCAGCGGTTTTACACCTTTCAGAACTTCCAATAAAAAATTTTCCACAAATGCTACTGATTCAGATTCCTCGACTTTGCCAACACTACAAATAAATGAAATGAACAAGTAAAACCTTGATCAAAACCGCAAAAAAAAAAAAAAAAATTGCAAAAAATTTTTTGCAATTTTTTTGCCTTCTGTACGCCTGCAAACAGTTAACTCCCTCAAACAAAGTGAAAACCCAGTGAATAAAAAGTAAAATAATGCAAAACAGTAACAAAAATAAATAGATAAAAATTGAAGGAAAAAAGAACAGAACAAAACAGAATACAACAATAGCAAACGGGCCAAAATAAAGCAAACGGGCAATGAAGTAGACAGCAAAAAAAAAGGAACAAGAAAAAATTGTAAAATAGTGATAATAAAATATTAATATGTCTGGAAAAAATGAAGCACTAGAAATAAAATAAAAAAAAATAAAGAGGAAAAACGAACAAATTATCATAAAAATAAATGTAATTTTTTTCTTCCTCTTCTTTTTCCTTTTCCTTTCTCTTCTAACAGTCAAAATTTTTAATTCCATACAATTCCCAAGAAAAAAAAACCACTACCACCCGGCAACCACCATTAAATAAAGAAAAAAAAGTAATGACATTAATAACAACAACAATAATAATAATAATAACAACAGTAATAATAATAACAAAAAATACTAATAATAACAATGGTACCGTTTAGCAGCGATAAACATAATGACAGCGATAATATTAATTGCAATAATAAATAATAACATCCTTATTGGTTGGCAATAATCAAAATAACAAAATTGTACTTTTATACTGCGCGAAAAGAAAAAAAATGACAGCAAACCTCCAACGGCGACAAAATGTTTCTTTCTTCTTCAATAAACAAAAAAAAGGCATAAAAAACATCCACAACTATCACAAAAAAAAAAAAAAAAAAAAAAAAAAAAAAAA